ATATATATATATATATATATATATATGAATATATCGTTATTTTAAAAATAAAGTTAATTGAGTGATTACATTATCATTAAGGCTAACTAAAAATTCTTTATGATCAAGTACTTACACACCATAGTTAAAAATCATTAATAACTATTTGCACACTCAGAGATTAATAACTTCTACGCATACTCTATAACTTGCTTTCTAATTATGAAAGTTTATAAGTATTTTGCTTGTTTTTTTTTTAAAATTTTATTTTTGGGAGTTATGGTTTTATCATTATAAAAACTATTAAATTAAAGGTATTTTATGTAGTAATTAACCTTTGTAGAATAAGAGTTATACATTTGTTCTCCTTAACTTTTTTTTTAATTCTATTTTTATTTTTTTTATCTTTATCATCAAAATTCTCCATAGTTAGAATTTTGATGCTTAATTCATGAAGAAAATACTTTGCCAACATATAATCTCATTATTCTTTAAACATAATTTGATCAAACATATCCAAATAACCATCAAGTATGTTTGAAGATAAGATCAAAAGTTATTAAAATCATGAAGTAAATAAAGTTACAGAAATTATATTCAAACCTTATTTGAACTATGGTGGAACAGTATTTTTTTGATGCACTCAAACGATATTCGATTAGTTTGAATAAGATATGAACATATTTCACGTCATACTTGAACAGACATCAAAATACAATCTTTGACACTCATTCGAATTATTCTTTAGATCTCTATCAAAATGGTCTAATCTATAATACATGATGGAAACATAAACAATATTATTATGTAAAAAGTCGAAGTAGAAAGGGCAAAACATCATTCATAATATGCATAATGATAGATGTATATCAAAGGCTAACTTGATGCCTAATTTGATGCTAAGTGAGATAGCTAATGCATTTCCTCAATTTTGAGCATTATAAGCCATAGAAAATAAAATTTTGAAACATCACATCTCGAACTATTTGATGGCTTTTGAAACTTTTTATTTCTTTATAACACACAATTTGTATGTGCCAAATCCACATGAAAGGTCGGTCTATTTAGCAATGCTAATCATAGAGAAGAATGAGAGATTTATTCCTTATAAAATGTCTAAGTGCAAAGGGGATGTTTGCCATCTTTTGACATTGATTACAAAGTTATGCTACACATCATACCTAGGGGAGGAATGTTAGCTTAGATTTCAAGCACACATTTGTGGCTTTCCTTTTGGGAAGATTCCCCAAATAAAGAAACATTTTTTATTTATTTTAAGAGGATTTTGTATAAAAATTCCCCCATTTTTTCATTTAAAGAGAATAAAAGAAGTTCTAAATTTACAAAAATATCCTCAAATTCCTTTTATTTTTTTCATATTCATCTTGCTTTTAAAACCCACTAGTCAATACAAAATCATTTTGAGAGTTTTAAAATAACATATAGGTTTTACAACTACTTAAATTTTATTTTAAAACATATATAAAATAAAATATAAAATGTAAAAAAAAAAGGAAATTGATCCCAAAAAGAGATACGTGTCCAAACTGATGATCTGTTGATCAGATGAGATTGAAGCTATCTCAACCAATTATTGAATTCAACCGAAGAATTTGCGAATATTTGTTATAGGGAAATTCACATACACACCACAAGATTTTCATGTATTTACATATCAAACGCCCCAACCCTCAGTTATATATTTACACTTATAACATCGTGATGTCATAAACCTATGCAAAAAAATGTTTCACTTTTCTAAATGACTGTAATAATTATATTTTTATCTAATATTTAATATTTAATTGATATGCATAAAAAAATGAATTTATCGGTGTTAAATATATAAATACATAATAATTGCCAGGTACGTCTGTTAACACCCAATTATTGAATTTATAAGTAATTAAATTTTCATGTTGATAATTCAATCAAGCTCCCTCTTGGTTTACTTCGAGAAAGGCGTAATGTGTGTAATCAATCAAAAATTATATTACACATTTAGAGTCTGTTTGGAGCAGCAGCAGGTTATTGAATAATATGCTGATAAACTGATTAAAAATAATATGCTGACAAGTTATGTATGGTTGCTATTGAAAAATTTTATTTTTTTGAAAAAACCAAACCACTGTCAGAAATCTGTCACCACATCTAGATAGAAATAAACTGATTAAAAATAATATGCTGATAAGCTAGGCATGGTTGTTATTAAAAAATTTTATTTTTTTTAAAAAAACCAAACCACTGCCAGAAATCTGTCACCACATCTAGATAGATGCGGTGTCAAAACACTGCTTTCAGTGTTTTCAAAACACAGTTTACCCAAACAGTCTAGATGCGTTTTCAAAACACCAAATAAGCTGCCCCAAACAGACCCTTAGAACTATTAAAAAATAAAATTAATAAATCTTAACTAGTATCAACCAAGTTTAGCTGAAATGTGATGATTTATAATATTTTATAAAAAATAAAAAATAAAAATCTCAAATGACTCCTTTCTTTTAAAATAAGTGATAAAATTAATCTTAATTTCTGCTGTGAAATTAAGCATCAGAATAATTTATGCAAAGAATAAAGCAAAACAGCAGTCCAGAAATTTTCCATTTGTTTATAATTTATTCATACAATTAGTCCCTGCCTCAGGAAAGCACAGAAATGCAATTAAGAGAAAATTGATGACAGAATGGAGAAAAAGAGGGGGGAAAATAAACCTTCTGCACAGCTCCATGAGACAAATATAATCCTCTGACTGTCTTCATTTTTTGCTCCTAACAACTGGAAGTAAGAACCAGCTGTTTAATGTCCTGAGATTTCAGAATCAGAACTTAATAGAAAAAAAAAAAAAAAAAACCTTCAGTAATTAAATTTTGCACTTTGCATTCATCTCAGTTATTGAATTTTGATAATCAATTGTTCAAAGACTTCGTAAACTCCAGAAATTAGGTGGGAGAAATATAGAACAGAAAATAAAGCGAAATGTTTACATATCTTCATTCACGGGCGGAACTAAGGTATGTCTAGGACGGGCAATTTTCCTGTCTAGAATTAGTAATTTTTTTTTATATAAATAATAAAATTTAATATATTTTTCGTATGCAATTTAGGCAATTTAGTAATTTTGCCTCCTAGATATATTTTTTTGTCCAATACTTAAAAAAAATTAAATATTCGATGATTTTGCCCGCCCTGAAAATAATGCTTGTTCCGCCACTCTTTTCATTCCATCAATATGCTCCAAATAGAACTATTTTAAGAATACTAATTCCTTGCTAACTAATCTATTAGCTAACAATCTTTAATTACATAATACAAGATATTAAACATAGTATATTCTAATTACTCTATTAGATAAACATGGAATCAATATTTAAGAAGTGACATTATTAGTTAGTTTGTCTACGCACCACAATTATGAAAAAATGTTACCAAAAAAAAAAAAAAAGAGAGAAAAAAATATAAGTACACACCAGGAGCTGCAAAATTTTATTACCACCATCAGGGTCTCCGAAGCTCCTAAATGTTCCCAAAGCACACATATTTGATCTGCAGCCAATGATGAAAAGTGTCATACATTGGAGTATTGAAATAATAAAAAATCAATCTAGCAATATTTGGCTTGGCAATTACATATGGACCACCCGAAACATTGATATTTACAAATTAATCAACCAATACACGTGCCACGATCCAACAATTGAGAATTTGACAAAAATGAAAAATATGGTTTGGTGTATACCATGAATTTCGATGTTTGAGTGAGAATTTGAAAAATGGTTGTAGATTTGTAAATAGCATGTTTCGGGTGGTCTCTATGCAAATGCCAAAAAAGACTTACCTCTAAATACTCATCAATGCCATATTTGGAGCCTTCTCGTCCAAGGCCGGACTGCTTGACCCCACCAAAAGGTGCAACCTATGAAACAGAAAAAAGTAATATTTATGGAATTTTAACGGCTACCATATAAAATATTAAATTTTAATTCCAATCATTTACCTCAGTTGATATTAATCCTTCATTAATTCCAACAAGTCCATATTCAAGTGCTTCAGATACACGCCATGAACGGGGTATGCTTTGAGTAAATAAGTAAGCAGCCAACCCTGGAAAAATGCAAAAACAGATATTACAAACACAGCCAAATCGAAGGCGATAATTTGCATGCAAATTTCATAGTTTGGGGAGCAAATAAGAACTTTCAACATTAAAAGAAGAAAAAAAAAAGGTCATCAAAATCAAATCCATAAATGAAAAGTTTTGATAGTCCTTACGATCACCATCAATATCAATATGATGAAGAAAGTCAGTCATCATCATCATTATCAACAAAAAATATATATAAACACACTTTAAATTCCATATTTACGTGCATAGCACTTTAGTGTCGTAAATTTATACATGAAAAAGTGCTATTTTTGATGTGATATTCATAAATTTGAGTGCTACATATGTATAAATGAAAGTTTAGGCATGAGACATGTAAATACATAAAAATTGTGTGCTATGTATGAAAATGCCCCTTTTATACAAAAATCATGTTATTATCATTCTCATACAAACAATAAATAAAACTATTTTCATTAATATCATTCCAAAAAAAAAGAAAAGGAAAGATTGTGTTAATTTCACCTTCAATAATAAGGGAACGATCAAGAAATAATTCAAGCATCACAAAGGCATACCCTTCTCTCCAAAGCAATACTTTTACTTGAGAACAATGATCTATTTGTGAATGCGTTGTAAAGCCTTGAGGACGCAAGATGGAAATGGGTCAATTTTTTATAGATACATGGCACGAGGAAAGATTATTCGGGTGTACCGAATCATGTTGCCACATTTTTAATGTTTTTTTCTGACCGCATCCATTGCTTTGCGAAAAATACATAGAAGCAGATAAGAGAGCTGAGCTATATTTTAAAAAAGATTTACATACATACCAGATAATTCTTATGTATTTGCATATATAAAACCCAAAGTTTGATATTTACATGTATGACAGCTTGGGTGTCATAAAACTATGCATGAAAATGTGTATTTCACCTTCAAAAAAGTAATGATAGTAGCATTATTGATGTAATGTTAAAGATTTGAGTAATATGCATGTTAATATGAATGTTTAGGCGTTAGAAATGTAAATATATAATAATTAATTATATGCTCACAAAAATCTTAAAAGAGTACCTGCATTTGTGTCATTAGCTATGCTAATAGCCTCTTCTTCAGTTTTAAAACGCAAAAGAGAAGCAACCGGACCAAATATCTCCTCCCTGCAAAGAATAAAATTGAGATCTGAGAAATTATGAAATTATTAAACAGGAAATAACTTTAGGGAAAACATTAACTCATAATATTAGAACACTTGCTTTGTGAATTCTTTTTTGTTTCACCTTTTCACAAGGGTGTATTATAAGGAAGCCTACATCAGATCAACTAGGTATACTCATAAGCTCAATGGCACATAATATAATAACCAAAATTTGCTAAGGTACAAATAAAAAATTACCCCAAATAAATTATACTTAAAATTTCAATTTTCTCATTCCATTGCATTCTACTTTTAAAAATAATCATTTTAATATATAGAATTACATGCTAGTTTTCAAAGATGAAGGAGTTTTCAAATTAATTTTGGATTTTGATAAAATTTTCCAAAGGCTTTTATTTAATAATAATGTTCACAGATTTAAGTGGAATTTCGGTTTTCCACTTTTCTTTACAGCTGATAAAAATTTTAAGAGCTGTGATAAATTAAATATTATATATATCTATATTTATCGAAAAGCTAAGAATTTAAACAGTTTATCTTACCCAGCCCTCAGACAAATAGAGAACAACCAGGAAAGGAATAGAGGAAACGGGGTGGAAATAGAAAGAGGAGGAGAATAGGAGGAGAGGGAAGAAGAAAAAGAAGGAAAAGAAGGAAGAAAGGCTGGTAAAGTGAGAGATTTTATTTTTGATTTAAAAGTAGATTTTGGGTTTATTTTTTTTCCCTGACATTGAATTCTAATCAGGGTTGTAAATTTATAAGCATGCGTAATTGTAAATTCTAAAACAGCAGATGAATTCTTCTCAATTTCTTGTTTTTGTACTTATATGTATAATAAACTAATCTTTGAAATACATTGTAAAATTTTCCTATTATGTAATGAATATTTACAGTTTGTTGTTCATGATTAAAGGATCACGTGGAATTTTAGCTTACAGACTTTTAAGTGTATGTTTTTTAATTATATAAAAAAAATTTAATTGGTAATACTATTAAAAAAATCTAGTACATACAATTTGCTCATTTGCATACATTTATTTAATGTTTTTAAAAAAGAATCACATATTTATTAAATTATCTAATTATAAAAATATACGAAGCTTAAGAAATCTTATATTATGAGAAAGATTTAACAAAAATATGCTTCTCATACTTGTGCCAGTAGGACCAAATGAGACAATTGTCTTCTATAGGGACAAAAGGCCCTCAATGTGGTTCAATAGTGATAATGCTAAAATTCACCTGGGCTTTTATCTAACTAGATGATGTAGCATTTAGGTTAAGTATATGATGGACACTAACCTAGATAACCGTATATGACATATTCTGAAGCTAAAATGAAAAATAAATGTTAATTACCAATCCAAAATCAATTCCACTGCTATAAAACACAAAGCACCAACTAAAAAGAGCACCTTTTACCAAATTGAATGAGAACCTTTATATGCAAAATAGATAATAATCTCGTGGTATGTGTAAACAAATTGTAAACCTTCTGAATAATCACAACCTAGAAGCAAATGAATAAAGTAAAATGGGTACGAAGTGAAAAAAAAAATGTGAACGATCAAAAAGAACTATGGTAACATTTAAGATGAGAAGTTTGACACAAAAAAAAAACCTGCATGTTGACAGCAACTATAGTGCTATAAATAAAGGGCTCAAAGAAGTAGACTATTGCATAAATGCCCCCCCAATCAAAAAGCACGTATGGAAACTTAAATAATTAAATATAATAAAGCTGAAAAGTTGTCATTTAATTACACGAGTCTAATTCAAACTACTTTAACCATAACATTATTTAAAAACTAATCATTCCAAGGAAAGAAGTGTAATTTTGGAGGAAATTTTAAGTTTAAAGCCTAGTATTTCATTAGTAAATGTTGGAGTGAAAGAATCTACACTTTATTTTACTTGAAAATCACAAATTAGGAAGGATTTCACAATATTTAATCAACAAAAAATGAAGACTTCCGATTAAATGAAACTAATAAAATCAGAGAGCTTTACCTACACACGAGCATTTCATTATTTGCATTTCCAATAACAGTAGGTTCGTAGAATGTCATGCCAAGACTGTGCCTCTTCCCACCAAGAACGATGTTAGCCCCCTGGAAAGATAACGATAAGCTAATGCAAGCAAATGGAGTTTCCCCATAGAGATATCTAAAAAGATATAAAATTGTAGCTTCCCACTTCACCAAAAATATTGTAGGAAGCACAGATAGCAGAAAAGATGGGATATATGCAGGAGATTTGCATATTTTTATATCAAAAAAGCAGATGAAAAAAATATTAATCACACCAAAATTTCATTATTTCATACCTTGGAGGTAGCATCTTTGACTAATCTCTCAACCTGCAGAAAAAAATTTAACCAGCAACCAAGTCAAGGCCGAAGTGCTCAGTTGATAATAAAATGAGTGCTGAAAATAGCATTATATAGAACTGAGAAGATTAACCATAAAAAGTACAGAACGTTAAATAACCTTCTCAACCGCAGTTTCATTGATTAATGGTCCCTGCAAAAAAAATTAAAACCAAAAAAAAAGAAAAATAAGAACGATCATTTTACTCAGAACGATATGTTGGAAAAAACAATTTAAAAAATCAAAATTGCAAAAAGGAATGCTTAGAGCACAAAGAATAAAAGAGTAAATTTGGATGCAATCAACAATAAATCTTCCAAAATTATTTTACTCGTGAATATGAAACCTGAATACTTCAGCTAGAAAAAATTTTGCTGATCACATAAACATTTACAAACTTTTGAAGCAACCAAAACATCATGCTGAATTGAAGCAGCTAATACCTGAACGACACCTTCTTCAAGACCATTGCCGACCTGCAACTTCTGAACAGATTCTGAGAAAGCCTTTGCAAATTTATCATAGATGCCTGCATATAAAAATTTGAAAACTTTAAAAGGATATCATCCTGACGAAAAAAGGGTAAGTTTGCACACGTGACATTATCAGCATGAAGAATTCTTTAAAAAAAGTCAATCCAACATATGATTTTAAGGACAGAAATCCATGAACCTTCCAAAAAAAATTTACCGTTCAACTTTGGTATCAATCATGATAGCTAAGCAGGAAACAAAAATCAACTGCAAGCTCCAAAGTAAATTCCAAAATAACTAAATTTGCAGCATTATCACGGATGAATCAATTTTACAGCATGTTGTTTACTAGGGACCATACTGACCAACATGGGCAGACCAAGCTCATATGAAAACTGGCCAATGGTAGACCTAGCTTACTTGGATGTGAGTGGACTAGACCGATTTCCTTTTTAATGTAAAACACCCCACCTTTAATAAAGATATTCAAACCGAATAAGTTTCAATCTAAATACCAAAGATGTGCTTGACATTAGAGCCGGTTTATGTGTGCAAGTAGTGAGGCTTGAAAAAGAACATACAATAGACATAGCATAAAATGTTCATCGATCAAAATATATCAATCATCCAGCAATAAATAATAAACATGGCATTCTAATTGAACTCAATCAAAACATGCTCCGAGAAGTCTTTCAATATCCTCAGCATTTGTACTATTTGTAATTTCAATAAAATTTGAATTTAAAATTTTACACACGATACTCTCTTCCTTTATCCAATGCATCCTTAATTGGATAGCTACCACTTTCTCACTAAAATGAAGTGGGCAAGCCCCTCTCTTCCCTGCTTTCTCTCCCAAGAGAATTCTTCTCCTTGATCTATCTAAATCTGAGATGAAAATAAGGAAAATGAACTATTTCTTATGCAAGGAAGGAAAAGGGAAAGAAGAAGAGCATTTTTTTTTGTTTTTTTTTACGAAAAAAAAAATGATCTAAAAAGGTAAAACCGGAAGAAATCCAAGAAGAGAGAAAGAAGAAAGGAAAGGAATTAATCATCCAAACCTAACAATAACTTTTAGTATTATTTATCGAGTCTAGTTTCCACGACATAATTTTTAACATCTTTCTGATAATTCATCATACACACCTTAATTAGCTTAATTCCCTATTTAGTTCAGGCCTTCAAGAACAGCCTTAATTTCGCTCATAACTTGTAAGGTGCCATCAACACAAGCACATAACTCTAAAGCCTTCTTGTAAAATTATTTTGCAGAATATCTCAAGAAAAGCACTAAGCTATATCCCCAAAAACATCAAAGATTAAAGAGAATATTCTACATTTGACACGCTCCAATCAAGAATCTTGTCAACAAAAACATCTTTATTTTATAAACTTTCGAAGAAGCCATAAATATAAATTATGTTCCAAAAGTATAAATTAGCTTATTAAAAAACAGATTTACCTTCTTGAACCAATATCCTATTTGCACAGACACATGTTTGTCCGCTGTTGCGGAACTTGGCTGCAAGCTGCAGAAAAGGTGATGCATTGTTTTAGCAAAAATTCTTAAAATTTCCGCAGGCATTGATGGGAAACCGTCCTAGTAGTAGCTTAGTAGTTACTAAATATAAGCCTAATTACTTCCGAGTAATTTGCCTGCTTGAAACCAAAATCAATACACTTGGCACTCAAGTGTTCTAAAATATTTATTATATATAAACATCAGCACAGTAAAAATTGAATAAACCATGAACAGCTTACAGTTCCTTTTACTGCCACATCTATATCTGCATCATCAAAAACAATGCAAGGGGCATTTCCGCCAAGCTCCAAGGATACCTGGCATCATTACATCATCAATAAGTGCTAGTGTCCTTAAATAATCACGCATATCATCACATCGTAATCCAAATTTTAGCAAAATTAAATTGGCAACAAAGGTACCTCAAGTGATTTAGAGTTTTGATGTAAACCAAATATACACTTCAATTTTACTTCAGTTGCCTTTTTTCATTCATTATTTTATATTAGTTTACTTTAGGGCCAGTTTGATTTGCTGAAAAAAAAATACAGAGTGAAAGAAATATGGTGTATTTGAAACATTTTACAGTTATTTTATTTGTTATAAAACCTTTACAAGAGAATTTGTTTTTTAATATTTGATTAGTTGTAAAACAAACTTCTCTCACTCCTTAGCTAATTTAAATTTTGAATGGTGTTGTAAGACTTTCAAAATGTTCTAAGGTTTTGTGAGGAGTAATCTTAGCTAAGTTTAAATCAAGAGGTTCATATTTTTGTGGATCTTGACTGCTGGTTTGAAGTTTGAGCTTGAAAGCTTGGTGGTCAATAATTGGCTTGTTCTGTTGATGGAATCTTAATTTTACTAGTTGCATTTTCTAGTATCCTCACAACTCCATAATTATCACTTTGCATCATCCCTTAATCCACTACAACCAAATTCCAAACCTTAATCTCTCTTGGTTTTGGCTCCTCTACCAAAACCTAGGAAATCAAGGCTCTCGTTTTGGGCCTTCACCTCAACATTCCAATATCTCCTTACATTAGCCTTCCCCCTCCACCCACCTCCATCCCTAAGCCATACCCAAAGCCTTGAACCACCATTGCAAGGCTAACCCACCCTTTGAAGCCTCTATTATTTCAATCCTCCAAAAGGTAAATTTTTCTCCCAAAAAAAAAAAACCCCCTTGCACATCTCATATAAAGATCTTCCGACCACCCTCATCTTCTTAGCTCTCTACCAATATTCCACCTCATCATCACATCCTAAACAACCCTTCAGCGAGCAGCCCATACAATCCTAAAACATCTCATAACAGCCATTCCACCATATCCAACACAACCCTTGGCTAAGAACACTCAAATATTTAAGGCCCACAAAAAATTCCCCTATAAGAACCACCTCAAACTCCTCATTTTAAAGCCCTTCTATCCTCACTTTAAATACTTCTAATTGAACCTATGTGCTCACACTTCGTTTCAACCTCATAACCAGTAAAATCACATCAAATGCCGCCACAAGAAGCCCAGATCCAAGTTGCCCCATCGATTGTTTTATTGCAAAGTTCAGTCATTTAAGCTATTAAGCCTGTGATTTTAGAAATACAAGAAAAAGACTGAAGTAAAATAAAATAGATAGAGATGATGATATAACTTATATAGTAAAGGTTGTATAGTCAAAACAAGTAAGTATCTCAATACTATTATGAGATAATGAACATCTCAAGGTTAAAGCCTATAATTTTGAAACAAACAATCCAAGTGTCGTGTGATAAGGATACCATTAATATCCCTGTTGGGCATAAAAATGAGAGTTTAGATGAATGTGAGGCAAAACTAGATTAGAGAAATTAAGAAATATTTATTAGAACAATGGTTCGTGACATCTAAAGAAGACAAGGTCCTTAAAAAAACTAGGGTAATTTGAAATTTGTGTCAAAGGGATTAATATGGAAGAGAGAAGAAGGGGTAAATGGTAACAATAAAATTAAAAATAAAATCATAAAACTAATCCAAAAAGGTCATGGAAATGATGGTGATAATCTAAAGGGTAAGGTCATGGAAGTGATGATAATAAACTAAAGTGTTTCAATCCGCTTAACATGTTTTATAGTTTTTTTATCATTGCACAGGCAACATTTAGAAACAAAATTAATGAAAAAAGCAACTAATCAATAGAAAATTTAGCAGAAGCATCCATGAAATCAAAAAATTGGAGCACTGCAATTCACGCTAATTGTAAAATTATGTTAAGCAGAGGAAATCAAACGACAAAGCTAACAGCAGAAATTACTTTTTTAACAGTATTCGCTGAGCCGGCCATTAGCTTCTTCCCAACAGCTGTTGAACCAGTGAATGTGATCTTCCTCACCTAATTAAAATGTTATGATTGCATATAGTTCAGCAGATAGCTACTAGCACTTATATAACACAAACAGAAAACAAACTATAGAAACCTGCGTGCTTTCTAATAGAGCATCGCCAATTTCAGAAGCATTTCCCAGTACCACATTTAATGCACCCTGAAAGATTTAGAAGGTTAAAGAGAAGTACAAAAATAAATGTGTTTTTAAAATTTAGACGAAATGAATAACAACATTTAACAGCTAATTTCAGCAAACATTGGAATCAAACAGTACAATTAAACATTTAATGAAATATTGATAATCATTATTCACTAGGATACATCAAAATGAATATTAAAGTAAAAGATTAGCTTCAATTTCCAAGATAAGGCTTCTGGGAAAAACAATTGATTAACGTATAAAGGAAAATTGATAATTATCTTCTTAATATTAATTGTAATCACTAACAGCTTTTTGTTGAAAAATAATTAAAATAAAGCTAAGAGAAAAAAAAAGTAGCTCGATCTTTTGATTATCGAACTATATTTTCTCTCCATGTCCTCCTTTCTTTTATGATGCTACTGTAAAAGTTGTCCCTCCTCTTCCCCTCCCAAATGTACTAATCCAATATACCATTTTCTGCCAAAGCTCCAGCGTCCACTCCATTCCCACCTCCTCTAACACATAAATTCTTCTTCCTCTTCTTTAAAGCCAGCATACCAAGACAAAGGGAAGAACTCCGGAAGGAAGAAGCCTTTTTTTTATATGAAGATGACGATGATAATGGTGATGGAGATTGTGATCTACAAGATAAACCTACAACAAATTTATCGCCTTCCTCGACTTTCCCCACAACCACACCACCAATTACAAAACCCTGAAAGATTTTCAGTCTGATGTGCATTCAACCGACAATGAATGTGAAATACATCTCATCCAATCTGCCTTCCCCCTCTTCCTCCCATAGCGGCTGCCTCTCCACCACCATCACCCACATAATCTCCTCGGCCAACATTACAAACCCTTACATCCCAAAACAATCACTCTCAAATCCTAAAACCTTATAATTCAAAAATTAGATGGACACGTTGAAAAGGTTACCTCAGTGAAACTTTGTTTAATTTGGAATTCAGTTAAACTTTTTTAAAATGAATTCCAATAGATCTTTCAGAATGTAACTGCAGCGCCAATCATCAAAGCTTGAATGTGTCACCACGAAAGAATCCTAATTATAGAATGATGAAAGACAGAATTTTATAAAGACGAATTTCATCAGAAGCCTATCAAAACCAATAATGAGGGTTTCTGGTTAATAAAAGTTAACATTATTCAGATTTATGAAAAAATAAACATAAGCTAAATCAACGAAACATTCAAAATAAAAATAACTAGAGGCCCTCTGTGAAGATGGAAAACCAAAATAAGGAACATCATGAAGTCTCTAAGAAAAACACGAGACCTATTAAGATTAGACCAGATAACCTATAAACTCGCATCCCACAAACAACTCACTAATACCCTTTTAAGATTTAGTCATATCACTACCCAGAAAGTTCGAAGCATTCAGCTCAAATCATATTCCATCAAGGAGGTAAAAAATTAAGTAATAAATAAGTTAGAAAGTTACCGGTGGTATTCCTGCTTGAAGTGCAAGTTCAGCTGCAGCCAATGCTGTCAATGGAGTATACTCTGATGGTTTAACCACTAATGTGCAACCACAAGCCAAGGCAGGTCCAGCCTGATGTATCAAAACCAATGGAATGACTAACACAAACATAAAAATATGGCAATTAGAGAATTTCTAACATAAAAGGACCAATTTTGTTGCATATAAGAACCTTCCGCGCAATCATGCCCAGGGGAAAGTTCCAAGGAGTAATTGCACCAACCACTCCAACAGGCTGCAGAATATAAAAAAATCCATGAACTCAAATTGGTAGAAAGTCAGGTTTTAGTGAAGAAAAAAACCACAAAAAAGAAGCAAAATTAACAAACATATTATGCAATTCTTATTTATGTACATATCTCGCACCTAAAACTTCTTATTTACATACAAAGCACTCTAGCGCTACAAATTTATGCATTAAAGGGTGTATTTCACATTTAAAAAGTGGTAAAAGTGCTATATCTTATGTGACATTAAATAATTGAGTAAATACGAAGTTTAGATGTGAGATATGTAAATACATATGAATTGTGTGCAATGCATGTAAATGCCCCTAAAAAGAATTGCATATGCTATACAAAAATTAGATTTTACCATGACCAAAAGGAAAAGAAAAAATATCAATGGTGAGGCTGCTACGGGTAAGTAAAGAAGCAACCTCCAAGAATTTAAAAAAAAAAACGAAATTGTCTTCTGTTATGTGAGCAAAAATGAGCTTTATTTCACAAAAGAAAAAGAAAATAAAAATAGCTATGAGGGCCATAGAACCATGAAACATTCTAAATATGTATAAAATCCAGCTAGATGCCTCATTAATATTCTGGCATATATAGAGCCATACAACATTTACCAATAAACCCCTAGACTTCTTCTATTTACAAACATAACTCTACATTAGATACAAATCTAAATAATCCCCCTCAAGGTGAGCGAAAGATAATCACGAAGCCCATCTTGTCATATAATCTAGATACCTCCATTAGGCTAAGTCCTTTAGAGAGGTAGTCAGCCACCTGCTCTCCAATAGCTACACGACTTAGTTCCAACAATACGTAATTCAACTTATCCTTGACGTAATCTCTATCAATCTTCACATGTTTAGTTCTATCATGTTGCACCTGGTTGTTAGCAATGCTGATTGCCGACTTGTTGTCACACCACAACTTCATTTGTGTGCTTTGATCCACTTTGACTTCAACCAATAAGGCTTTCAACCACATCATCTCAGCAACTTCTAATGCCATGACCCTGCATTTTGTCTCTGTTGTTAATCTTTCTACCACTAATTGCTTCTTATTTTTTCCACAAGAACAAGTTGCAACCTACAAACATGCAGTATCCTTATGTAGATCGTCTATCATCAGCATAACTTGCCCAATCAGAATCACAAAAGCCCTTAATACCTACTGATGTGTTGATAATTTTACACTTGATGATACATGTATTTTTGTATTGTATACGATAATACTGCACTTTGAGGAAAGTTTTATGTTATTTTTGCAGGTCGTGGCAGGAAAGTGGATGAATGAGAATCAAAATCAATTGAATTAGAGATTAAAACAGAGCTGATCACTGGGCGCCCAGATGCCTGGCCACTGGCATCAGTCCCCCCTCAAATGGAGCAAAAATCCTGAGAAGACAAAAAGTTGGCACGGCTCCTTAGCGGCATGAGTGCTGCCATCGGCGCCTAGGCGGCACAATTACGACACCATGACACCGGTCTTTTGTGGAAGAATTTTCAAGTATGTGGCGCCTAGGCCCCAACCTATGGGCGCCCCGACGCCGGTACCCGAAAATTGATAGTTATGACAGTTCAAAACTTGGGTTCAAGGAGAGATGTATAAAGTGCTCGATCATTATGGAGGGTTTTTTCACCAATTTTCTTCTGTCAATTCTAGAGGGAGAATTTTGGAAGAGAAGGCCACACAACTTCAAGGAGATTAGGAGAGAAGAAAAGAGAGTGTTTCTGAGGATTGAGAGAGTTTATTGATTACTATTGGAGACATCTTTATCCTTTATTGTGAAGGAGATAAGTACAATTAAGTTATATTTTCTTCTAGATTTCTTTGTAAAGACTTGGTTTTTTATGTTTGTTCATAATACAAAATTTGTGTTGATAAAAGCTGTCATGAATAGTGAGTGATTTACTTAATTCTCTCTTTAATTATGATGATGATTGGATAAGACTAAAAGTTTAAGATTGCTTGATTTTATTTGATTTTGAGTGTGTTGAGTTAGTTTGTGAACTTAATTTACCTTCTGCCTAGGCAGTGGATTGTTAAAACATTTCGTGAATTCTGAGATTCGGAAGGATTCTGTATGGAACAAAGAAGTTAACCACTTTAATTCATTTGAATAGGGATATGACCAATGCGTCTAAGCAATCTTTTGAGGGATATTTTCTTGTGTGCAAATCAAGAGTTTAGGGAACGAAGCTTGAGACTGCTAATCTTCCTTAGTCTACCGAAAGGGGATATGAAAGAATTTTTCTCCTAATTGACACTATTTTTGAATCTACTACTTAGCTTCATCCATCACTTGATTAATTAAAGAGGGAAATTTTTAACACTTGAATTTTCTATAAGATTTTTTTTGTTAGGATAGAATTGCTTTTTAAATTTAGGATAGATAAACAATTGAATTAGTAACTAAAACTTTTGAGGTAGAGGCTGAAAATAGTAGGCTAAAACTTTTCCTTCATTGAGCTTTCCTTGTTCCCTTTTGGGATCGACAACCTTACTCAAACTCGGCACTATTGATACGTCACGTATACTTGCATGAGCACCCGTGCTTTGCAGCACGTGATGCATGTAAAGTTTTTGATCTATCGTAGGGTTTGAGTCTAGTTTTCAATAGTACCAGGTTTATGAATGATATTTTGAATAAGAAGAGGAAGCTAAGTGACTTTGAGACCGTAGCACTTAACGAGGAAAGCAGTGCTATCATACAGAAGAAGCTACCTTAGAAACATAAGGATCCTGTGAGTTTCATCATCCCCTGTGCAATAGGAGAGAATTTTTTTGGGAAAGCATTATGTGGCTTAGATGTCAGCATCAATCTCAGGCCCTTGTCTATTTTTAAGAGGTTACGATTAGGAGAAGTCCTGTCCACTACTGTAACACTTTAGCTTGTTGACTGATAGTGGATTTAAGGCGGATAAGTTTATCTTCCCTGTGGATTTGATAGATTTAGATATGGAGGAGGATAACAAGATTATCATCATTTTAAGCAGACCTTTCCTGGCAACTGGTAGGGCAATGATTGATGTAGAAGAGAGTTAACTATGAGGGTAAATAATTAGAAGGTTACATTTAATGTTTTAAAATCTATGAAATTCCCTTCTGATTATGATAAGGATTCCTATTTTAGATTGAATCTAGTGCACCACCTTTGTAGAAATCAATTTCAAGAAAGTTGTGATGTTGATCAAGTAGAGTGGAGCTTGATTGAGGATGATAGTCATCTTTAAAGAAGAATTAGCTCTACTTTTAGAGGGAAGTCCTAGGATATACATGGAGAGGTTTGAACTATTGAAGAATCACCTCTATTTCTGTATGATAACACTGCACTCCTCGCCAAATGCTACTGTCTCAAAGTAACTTAGCTTCCTCTTCTTATTCAAAATATCATTCATAAACCTAGCACCATTGATAACCATACTCAAACCCTATGATAGATCAAAAACTTGACATGCACCAGATGCTGCAAAGCACAGGCTGTTCACGCAAGTATACGTGGCATATCAATAGTACCCGGTTTCAATCTGGTTATCAATCCCCAGACTATTGATAGAAATCTAGAAAAATTTTATGAGTATTTTATTGCTAGTTCCAGGACTAAATGTTACGCGCATTTTATTGTAGATTTTACAAAAAAACAAATTGTTTCACAACATTTATCATTAATAAAAACTTTTAAGTAAAATTCTACAATAAAATACTAGTAAATTTTGACTAAAAGATAAAAATCTCTTGGGAAAACAACCGAAGAGTTCCTTCTATAACCTATGTTTGGCGGAACACAATAGATAGTAAATGGAAGAAATAATCAGAAATTCAAGGTTGACTATGTATCTAGCAATATTTTATTGTTGAGTGATCAGTGAAAAGTCAACTGAAAATTACGATAGCGCTCATAGATATGCACAACAGCACAGACTAGCATGTCAAATGACCAAAAAAAAGTAGGCTTCATCTACATACATTAGAGCTTTAAATTGCAAATGACGGTACACCCAGAAAATTTAAAAAAATTGAAGCAACACAAAAGAATTTTTTACCAAATTCATAGATAAAATTTAGATACCTGCTTTATTACAAGTAACCTACGGTCATTCTGTGTAGTTGGGATGATGTCACAGTACACTCGCTTTGCCTCCTCAGCAAAGAACTCAATGAAACTAGCTCCATAAGCGACCTGTCAGCAAAGACAAAATTACCAGAGATGACCACAAAGTTACCATTAATTGAGAAAAATCACGTAAGAAATTGAAGAGCCTGTTTGTTTATCAACTATGTATAAGAAAATACCTCACCAAGTGCCTCCTTTAGAGGTTTTCCTTGCTCCAACGTTATAAGCAGTGCCAGATCATCCTTGTGGGCAAGTAAGAGTTCATACCTTAGAAAATACAATGAAGTTTATCGTTACTTCCATGAGCTATCGTCAAAAGTTGCTTAACATGCCCAATAGTTTCACATAATGTTACTTGAGCAAAAAAATAAGTTAGTGGTAAAAAATACAAGGAAAGCCTCTACGCCCACCCCACCGGGCATGCAGCTCATGGGGGATAGACAGCCTCCCTCCCCCTTCAGTTTTTATTAAAAAATAATAATAAGAATAAAACTTGCAATATTCTTGGAGAGTGTCTTATCTAAAATTTAATCTGCCTTTTGAATATCTGACCTAGAACTGATACCAGAGTTAACCCAAACCACATTAGGAAAAACAAATAGACAGTTACAATCAAATACATTTGAAAGTTTGCAAACACACGCCATGCAAACTTATGTTAGGGATGATCCCGGGTGAAGGTTGTGACAGTTAGAGGACTGGGAAAGGTGGTGGCTAGATAGGGAAGAGGTTTTTGGGTTGTGGATGAGGAGCGGTAGTGATTATGGGTGGCTGGAACAGCAGGGCAGCAAGAGGCAGCAGCCCAAACAGCAGTAGTTGGTTGTTTGGGGCGGCTGGACAGCAGGAAAGCAACAAAGGGGAGGCGTTGTGACAATGGCAGCAAGCTAAAATAAGGGTAAACAGCTGGTCAAGCGGTTACAACAGCAGAAAACAGCCTAGACGTTGTTTTGGAGAGGAGCAGCGAGCGGGAATGATGGCGTTAGCGGCGGTGAAGACGTGTGACTGCAAAATAGCCGAAGGACTTTCCAGAGGCCACGACGGCGATAAGGATGGTTGGACGACGAGGAACTACAAGAAGACAATAATGTGGCTGGTATCCAGCAAGGACAAGAAGACAACAATGTGGCTGGTATCCAAGAACTACAAAAAGACTTCAGTCGTCTCGCTGCCACAATGAGGAAGGTGTGGCACAAAGACTTCAGTTGTCTCGCTGCCACAATGAGGAACTACACCCTTCAGTCGTCTCGCTGCCACAAAGACTTCAGTCGTCCCGCTTCCCTCTCGTCTCGCTGCCACACCTTCCCGCTTCCCTCTCGTCTCATGGGAAGGGACAGGGAAGATAATCACTACCTGAGGGAAGGTGTGGCAGCGAGACGAGAGGGAAGCGGGAAGGGACAGGGAAGATAATCACTACCTGGAAACCAAGAAACAACTGAAGCATCAATTAGAACCCTAGAATACAACCCTCAAAGGTAAGAAGAGACATCGATGGTCCGATCCAAAACACAAAAAACTAAATTCCAAACCCTAATACAACACATATATGGGAAAGAACTAAAAATTAATAAAGGATAATGAGAAAGAAAGTATAAGAAAGGAAAATGGTATTATTTAGGCCCGTCTCCCTGTGGTATTGTAGCAACTACAGTACCGCAACTATTTTGGGCGGTAAGCTCCCACATCAATCTCTCAGGGTTGGGGAGCTTTGACCTCATCCTGAAAGCTTCCACCTCCTCATCGTATAGAATCAGGTAGGTCGTGTTGAAGGTGGTAAAAATATAGTAATCTCCTGGTAAGTTAATCATCTTGCATTGACATTCCAATGCACATCTTGATGGAATAGGTATTCATCGTGTTTTGGCACAATTACAAATGAAACTTTATGTGGATGGGTATCTTCACGAAACCAAGTCTCTAGTAATCAAATCTTAAATTGGCTCCTTCCGCTCTTTGTACTCGTCCAAGTGTATCTGATAAATACGTATATAAGGAGAAAATAACTTTGGGATGAAATCTATGACATTGAACCACACCAAAGTATAACCAATTAGGAGATATATCTTTTCCTTCTCTAAAAGAACCTAGATCTCATTGAAGAATTTTCTTCCCCATAGAGTTCCAAAGACATATTTCAAAGCAATAGATCATCCCTTCAGTTTGGATATCTAATGGTGGGTACACTGCAAAACTGAATATAACATTCGAATAACTTCATATAATCTTATAGACATGGCAAAAAAGGGCCTCATTCCTGACATGATAGATCTCCTTCAGCAGAGGCAACTCATAAAGTAACCAATATAATTGAAGTCTGAATTTCTCTTATCTGGAGTTATGTGTTTGATATCGTCTCCTCAAACTTATGACCCTTTTAGATATCTAATACCAGTTTTGTTGATGCTCCTCTCAACATCTGCAAAACAGTAGCTCAAAGCACCACAATCTCATACTCTGCATCAACAACTATTACCTCAGACTAGCTACCTTCTTAGAATAATTATCATGGACTTAGTTGGAGTCCCTCACCAGGGTTCAACTCGAATTGCAGGCATCTCTTCCTTCTAAGCTAGAAATTAAGAAGCCTCTCTTAAATCTTCATCTTCTCCTAGATCATTGTTTATCTCTTCAAATGCTCCATGATCTGCGAAAGAGACCATTCTCCTGGTTGCGCAATCTAATTCAGTATGCCCAAATCTATGACACTTGAAACACTTCCTGAAGGGGACAAATTTTAAAATATTGGTTGGTGCCCTCTAATTTCCCCTCTAAACCAGTGTCTCCTTAGGCGGGGTAAACTTGGATGTTCTTCTAGGTGTATACTGGTTGTAAGAACTTAGAATTGAACCCTGTCTATTCATTGTGATGAACGCCCGGTGATGTGGTCTTTATACTTTTGAAGTTGGTCTAAACATTTGATTTGTAGTGACCTAGTAGGAATTGGAGTTATATTTCCTATTTCATCTTGAACCAGATTTTGCCTCCAAAATAATGCACTTCTTCAGATTGTTGCCTGTTAGTTTCACTATTCTGTCTGGTAGGACATCCTGCCACTCAAATACACGTTCTAAAGTTTAGAGCCACTCGATAACCTCGCCCAGCTCTATGTGGCCATAGAGATATGATAAATTCACTTTTACTTCAAAATTATGATTTCTCAAATATTTGATGTCACATCTTTGAGGTAGAGGATCTCCATCCCTGAAATCTACTTGATGGAAATATTCACACCATTCCTTTAATCTAGCTAGTCGCCATTATAACTACGGGCGGCCCATCCAGATTGTCTCCTTTCTAAGATGGTAAGCTTCGGTTGTAGTTGGCGGGTTTTCCATTGCATATCCTATCTACAAATCCCCTGGACACCTGTTTGTGGATTGCTCATAAACAACATCATGTCATTTCCCCTCGATTATGTTTTCGGCGATTATCTCATTGGCGGCATGGCTAAGCTTTGGGTGTAGGCGGGTGGAAAAAAATTGATTTAGGGTTGCTAATTTCAAAAATCAGCAAGGGGAAATTAGGAGCGTCAAATTTTATACTTGGTTTGGGAATAGGAAAGAAAACTTTTGGGTGAAATTGGCTTAGGTAGGGGCGGATGCTAGGAAACCATATAATAAGACTAGAGCTAGACTAGCTCTAATCCAAATGATACCAGAGTTAACCCAAATCACATTAAGAAAAAACAAATATTATTACTGGAAGAAAAAAAACTGTTACAATCAAACACACTTGAAAGGGAGAATACGACACACGACTCACACTCACGTGAGGGTGAATCTCGGGTGAATGTGGTGATGGTTAGAGGGCCTGGTGAGGTAGTGGCAACGTAGGGAAGGGGTTTCCAAGCTGTGAATGAGAAGTGGCAGGGATTATGGGTAGTTGGAACAACAAGGCGGTAGACCAAACAACAACAATTGGCTGTTTGGGGCCGTTGGAGAGCAGGAAAACAGCAGGGAGGAGGTGTTGCGAAAATGGCAGCAAGCTGGAAACAAGGGAAACAATCGGTTGGGTGGTTGGAACAACATAAAACAACACAGACGGTTGTTTCCAGGTGGCAACAGTAAGCGCAAATGACAGTGGCAGCAATGATAAAGGAGTGTGACTGCAGGACAACCAAAGGAGGATTGACTAAATTGGGGACAATTTTCTGCCACCATTTTCACATAAGGAAATTTCCATTAATTCTATATTTTCAAGAATTAAATTTTAGGAATGTGATACTCCAAGAACTATCTCTGGATCTAATCTGTACAAAATAAATGAATGTACTGCAAATATTAGTTCTTCAATGTAATGCCAATTTGTAATCCAAGTACAGGAGTGAGGAGATATTCATTAAAGTAATCTTCTGTTCAATTCTGCTTAGAAGTTTCACATTCGGACAGCAGAACACTTGGTTTTTGATAATTGATTAGAAATTGGTCAATAATAATAGATTAAGGGAATTGAAGATTTAATTAGACTATTTGGAATTTACATGCCAACTTTAAACAATCAAAACAAAGGATTGCAATATTTTTAAGTTCTTGTAAATCATGGATAGAGTTTGAAAAACATGTCAGCTTACTGTAACTTTTATGTTCTATGACATTTGTCTTAGTTTAAAAAACCAATCTCATAAGAGATGCATATGCTTGAAGAATAGCAGGGCTACAAACCCCGTTCAATATCAATTTTTGAAATCTAATACATCCATTCTCACAATGAAAATGCTTACACAATTTCATAAGAATAACGCATCAATTCACCCCTAGAAAAAAACATTATGAGCGAGAAGGTATGCCTAATATTAGAAAGTAATGAAAAAAAAACAATTCCAGAATGTTTAACACATACCATTTTCTAAGACGCTTGCCCCTTTCACTTGCGCTGAGTTTGCTCCAAGCTACAGAAAAAGAAAATTAAAATTTACTAAAGAAAACAGGCCACTAGTCACATGCAAGTGAATAACCTCTAAAACTGAAAAAACAGTAACATATTAGCTTTTGACACGTCTAAAACAAAATCCAATGGTAATCGAATTTTCCTGCCTAAAATTGGCAATAATTTTGCAGCATTTAATACACAGCAAGCAGGATTATTTCACTAATTTGAATTTTTTTTTAATCTAAACTGCCTTTATTTTCTCTCGTAAGCTGCATATCAGGGAAACAAGACAGGAAAAATTAATTGAATAAATTAGACTTGCAAGTTGAATCAATGTGTTAAAAAAAAAAATAGATAGTTAATTAAAGCATAATGAAAGTTTCAATGTTCAGATAGATGTCTCAAAACTAGAAATAAGGAATTACAAGAAGGTTATTTTAAAACAAAGTTTGTAATTTCAACATGTACAACAGATGGTAGAGCACATACCCATTAAACATATAAATAAAATTAATACTGAACGAGAAGGAAGAATTAAGAGATGGGCCTAAAATAACAGTTCAAAAAAGATTTGTGAAGAAGAGGCAAATGGAAACAGATGGAAATGAGAAATTGAGCATGAACATGTATGGATATGTAAAAACTTGAAATAAGAAGTTACAGGATGATTATATTAAAAACAATGTTAAAATAACATAGCTAAAAGTTAAAAACAACAAATTGAGTGTAAGTACACAGAAGCCTAGAACTATGAGAAATGTATACCACCGGAAATTTCTAGTTACATACAATTGAAAGTACTGTAAGCTGATGAGATTGCATCTTCAGTCTCCTTCTTGCCCATGAAAGGGACATTTGCAAGAAGTTCACCAGTAGCAGGGTTTTCCACCTGTAGGATACAAAACAGATATCAGTCTTGAAATTTGTTTATATTCTCTTGATAATATATATAGCAAATTTTGAAAAATGTCTCAAGGCCATTGCTAGAACCACAAGAACACAAGGACCGTAAAAAATTCTGTTATTTTTAAGAGGATTGAATGCCAATGTGCATAATTTAACTGCAATAAACTCGTAGGCAGGCATCCATTAACTCAAAAATCTAAAATAACGGGTAAGGAACTAAATGACTATTAATATATTAAGAACTCGATTCTAACTTCATAATTACAGGAGCTATTTGATTGCAAGTAGGATTTAGTAAATCATGTAAATCTGGATTTAATAAATCATGAGGTAGTTAATTCTTGAACATTGTTTAGCATGATAGAGGCTAAATTCGGCTAAATCCTGATGAATTATTTTGTTGCTTGTTTCAGAATTTAAGTTTGTTAGTTCAAATATAATTTTAGTACTAAGTACTGATTATGCAATTATTAAGGCTAATTTTAATTTGAATTTTTATTATTTCAAAATATGTTAATTTTAAATAGTAATTTACTGAGCTAATTAATCATTGATAATGATTTTATGAAACTAATTAATCATTAATCAAAACTTCAAATATTCATTACAAAACAAAAGAGAATATCTCAATTAATTATTAATAAATGATTTATTAAGCTAATTAAAAACAATTACTACTTAGTTAATTCACATTAATATAATAGTTATTTAGCTGATTTCTATTTAACCTATATCAATTGCAATTACATTAATCGGCTAAATTAGCATAAGATAATATGATAATCAATAATAAAGTAGTAATCAAGTAAGTTCATTAAAAACAACTTCTATAAAACAATATATATTAATCATTGTTTATAAATTATTAAATTTATTGAAAATAAGATTTTTGGTTAATCAACGCCACCTTCCCCTCCTACTTTAAACCCAACAAAGCAAGAAAAAAGGGGGCCTAAATTAAGGGGCAGCCAGGTAAAGAATTTAAGTAGAATTTAACTTAAATTTTGCCAGACAACCAAAACAGCACTTTAAAATCTCGCATTCCATAAATTCGGTTTCTTCTAAGTTTTCTTATCAGTTTTGCCTTAAATTCTGAATTTCCTAAATCATTCTGCTGGTCGGATTTAGAAAATCCGGATTCACACAATTTACCAAGGCCGTATTTGGTAGTGTAGCTTTAATAGGATTTAGTCATGGATTTAGCGTAAATCCAATCAAACATAAAAGAAAAACAAAAATTTATTTCATCTCGGATCCGTTGTGAATCGGAATTAAGAATTTCTTCCTCCCTCGCTTGCAAGCTCATCTACATCGCACAGATTATCAGAATTATTGGATTTGATAAATTCTATTTAAGGTAAATTCAAGTTGCAGCCAAAATCCTCCTAAAGCAGCTAAAGACATTACCAAACAGCCCCTGAATAAATACACTGGCAAAACCCACCACAGCAAAAGATTAAGCTCATGCGCTAGGAGCTCAACTATGATTTCATGTCTACCATGAGATTATTCATCATTCTCGTATGGATCTTAGCAGTTATCCTGTCATCACCACCATATTACAGGCACTAAAAGAAGATCCACTACTGGCCCGCTAGTGGAATTAACAGCCGGAACAAGGGAAACATGCCATTCATTCAAAAAGCAAATAGATTACTAAATAAAATTGGACAAATTATGAACATGTCTCAATCCGTAAACAAAGCAGGAGCCCAGCAACCACACCCATTGATTCGAAAACAGTAAAATGAATGAAATATTTGCGTACATCAAAATACAAATAGATTTCCGACAGAATAAATAAATAAATAGATTTCCAACCAGAATGGCCGATTTTATAGATTCAGCATACGTTTTCCGTTGTTCAAAAGCAATAAAGCGAAACCTTAATGGTCTTTCCATCGTAAGAGTCGACCCATTTCCCTCCTATGAGACCTTGCGTCTTCAGCAGCCCTGACTCCCTCAGGCGACTGATTGTGTCGGAGGATTGACGCGTCGTGGTACCCATCTGCCGATTTGTTGATCAAATTGAACTGGGACGTGATGAAGAAATGTAACGGTAGTGATCGGAGAAAAGAAAGGGAGTAAAGCTTGCCTGGCGAGGAAGAAGGAGACGGAGGCGGCAGTATGTGGAGGGTAGGTGGCATCCAGTGAGAGCCACGCGGAGAAGCGCCATTACAGAGCAGTGATACAGGCCCTGCGCATATGGACACCTGGTTTCTCCCTCTGTCTCTTTGTAATAGAGTTGAAGATAACATAGAAATTTCCTTACTAGTTTTTTGTTTTTATCTTTTTTTTTTTTGTTAAATATTTGTTA